TGTCTCCCAAATGAGTACTCGTGGCCTCGTAAGACCAGGACAAGAGAGATCCTTCACCTCTGTCCAAAGATGGCCAGCAAGCCCCTGGAGGTCTTGACTTGCTATCAACATAAGAATGCCTTTCCGTAAACTTAGCAAAGCCTTTAGTAGAAAAACCTTCTGGGTACATGTGATATATTTGGATATGTCTGACATCAAAGGGAGAGCAGATTCGGGACAGCTCTTAAACTTGTTCGTCCCTGTTCATATCATCAGGATATTTAGAAATATTCCTGTTAGCCTTTATATACCTTCCTGTTGTCAGAATGGCTAACTGGCCAGACAGCAGTGGTTCACTGTCCCATGATTATCACCTGAAACAGTCCTCGACTCCTGACTTCTAGGGGCTCTTCTGTCAGGAGGTCATAGCTCCAGGTTATTCCCCTCATCAGCACCTTTTAAAAGCTCTCTACATTCTGTAGAGACGTGTGTGTTCATCCATCCATCCATCCACCCATCCACCCATCCATCCATCCATCCATTCACTCACTCATTTGTGAAACACCAGGCACCAGTGCAGGACACAGATGCTAAGTTTGAGTCATTCTGCAAAGTTTTTGGGAAATTACCTATATTCCAGAGCTCTTTGTCTTTCCAGAAAGTTTCCTGCTATTGGCTTTTTTCTTTAGTGGCAACAAAGCAGCCGTAAAATTACACATGTGACTACTGAAATGACAAGACTCACCCTTAATATTTTTCTTAATAGAACATCTCAGCATAGAAATAGAAGATACAAAGAATAACTAAGTGGAATTCTAGTACTGGAGCATGTAACAGTGAAGGAAAACATCGCCGGTATTTAGATTTAGGCTTGACGAAAGCCTGGTTCTGTGGTTAGGCAATAACACTTCCTCAGCGTGCGGCGTGGTCCCGGTTGTGTCATGTCGCGAGCGCCACATCACACGGTGAGACATGGTGTCAGGTTGTCTCACTTCACCGGGGCTATTAGCGATGACCTGTGGATGAGGGTGGCACCCGCTGGGTCCCCCTGGTGAAGTCTCCCCACCCTTGTTTCTCTTTGTTCTTGGTGTTCTGAACTTTTGTGATTGTTGGTGGGGATCATTTGTCGCTAACTTGCTGTGAAACCTGTGGCCTCTTTCAGTGTGAAAAGTCATTTACTCCAGAGATGGCTTATTTGTATTATTTCTTTGATAATTTCTTCTCTTAATTTTCTGTATTCTTTTTTGCTTGAACTCTTGTTATTCAAATGTTGGACCTCCTGGACTCATCCTTTATTATTTTTTTTCTATTCACTCCCATTTTCTATCTTTTTGTCATTTTTGTCTGTTTTCCAAGACACTCCCCAAATTTATATTCTAACTCCTTAATTTAATTTAATTTTTATTTTTAGATGTTAAGGACTCTCTCTGGCTTCTGAGTGTCTTCCCTTGTAGCTTCTTAGTTCACGGATGTATCTTTCAGCTCTTGGAGGGTGTTTGTGTATGTATAGTTTAGTTCTGCCCCGGCCCTCTCTTTGCTCTCTGAGTTCCTTTCCCCCTGTTTGTTTGGTCTCTTTTGCTTTGGAGTCTTTCATAAACTGTCTTGCTAGCCTTGTTATTTTTTCTGTTTAAGAAAGAGGTATTAAAATCCCATCGCAAGCTTTGTGTCGACCTAGTGCCTGTGACCCGGTGAGGATCTAAGTAACCTCTGTTTCAGGGGCTGTTGGGTTCTGGGGAAGAATCCCTGTATGTCAGCGTCTGTGCTGTGGTGGGGGGAGGGGAGAAAGAAACATCAGTGTGAGATGGAAACACTGATTGGTTGCCTCCTGTATGTGCTGCAACCGGAGATCGAACCTGCAAACTAGGCATGTTCCCTGACCAGGGATCAAACCTGCCACCTGTGGGACAACACTCCCACCTGCTGAGCAACCTGACCAGGGGTGTGTGTGTGTGTGTGTGTGTGTGTATGAGAGAGAGACAGTTTCTCCAGAGAGGAAGCTCTGCTCTCTTGCCTGAGAGATAAAAGCCTGGCCTCCAGCATTCTTGGAGTAAACAGGGAAAGATGGACAGGGAATCTCACAGTGGTGCTTCACTGTTGATCACAGACGAACCTGGACCCCAAGCCAGAACCTGGCTGAGAGGGTGACTTCCAGGCATTTGTAGGAGGGAGGGTAGTGGTCTGGCCGTGCAGGATCTGGTGATACTTTCTGAAATTTTTGCATTGATCGGGACAACTCAAATCTGTAAAGTGTTTCATCACATTTGAGACAATAAGACCAACTGTTCACTGCCTGGACCATTTATCGAGGCCTGGAAGGAAATAGAGGACGGTAGCAGATGCTGGTAATTGGGACTAAAGTGGCAACTGCACTCCAGCAGTTGTGGCAGATTCACCATAGTCGTCCGACTCTTGTGTGAAAGAAATAATAATTTTTCTAAAACTCATTGCTGTATGAGGTTTAGGCATGAGTTTTCATACCCTCCCCTTTCCTGATATCTTTTAAGGTGCTTGGAGCATTCTGTCATCCCAGGGAAATATTTGCTCTTCTCATTCCTAAACATTTTATTCAGTAGTTTGCATTTTCTCAGAGACACCCGGGGTATAGGGTCCCTTCAGAGGCAACCTCTTCATCGTCCTTGGTTTCTTAAGATCAGTAAGACCTTGCAGAGATGCACTTTCATTTCTGAGTGCTGTGGACTGTAGTTCTCTAATAATAGCAGCTTCATTTCGGTGGATCGTATGTCACTCAAACAGTAGAAGGCCCACTGGAACTGCGGATCACCTAATTGTCTTTATTGGATGATGATTTAATACGTTACAAAGTTGCATGCAGTCATTTCTGATGCCTTGGAGCAGTGGTTTCCAAACATTTTGACCCAGACCTCAGTGTGGAAAAGTTTACATCACACACACACACACACACACACACACTGCTGACGGTAATGTAATGAAAGGATACCTTTATGAATAGTGTTATTTTCTCTTCTATTTAAATTTAAAATATTGTGCCCTACAGGTGATCTACAGTTTGTAAATCACTGCATTGTAGTTCTTAATATTTTGGGGGGTGTGGTAGATTGTGGGCCTTTTTGGTGCACTGATGAAAGTACTGGAATCTCTTCCCAGAAAAATGTACATGCACATTTTTGCACACATTTTCAGGAGATTGATGGGCTTCGGGTATAAACAGGGACGTCTCCCTAGTGCTGAAAGCTTCTATGCTAGAGAACATTTGGGGCTACCTTGTTTTGTTGGCACATTTCACCCAGGGTGCCCGGACAGCTGCCATCGACTGCCCAGCAGATAGTCTGCCCTTCCTTCCTTTTTCTTACAGAGTGTTATTAATATCAGACTGTTGGCCGGAGACCATATAATAAATCAAAGTTCACCTTGCACACCAAGGTTAAAGGTCTCAGAGGATCCTTATGCTTTCTGGGTATACAGTTGTCTCTATGCTATTCAGAGTCAGTGCACAGGGACCTGGGAGAGACGAACACTTGCTTCCGGATACGTCAGGAGCTGTTGTTCTTTTGCAGAGACACTGCTTCGCCAGGACCTTAGCACACTGACCCCGAGCATCTGCAGGCCCATTCCCCAGCCGTCTTCGCGTGCAGTGCAGAACTTACTTGTCAGCCTCCCCTATCTTCTTTACAACCACCATTCGGTAGTCAGAGTGGAGCCCCAGCTCTGTTGTGTGAGCTTCTGCCTCCCCCTACCCTTCACTTTTCGTTCTTCCTGTCACTCCTTTCATAGAAATTCAGTGAGTTCTTTCTGCGTGCCAGGCTTTGTTAATGAGAGGAATAATAGGCTAGTGAGAACAACCCAACATCCGGGTGTGCGTGGTCACCCCTCGCCTCATCATTCCAGGACCTGCCCTCTGGCTCCTCACCCCGGGCTGCCGTCTCGGGCCTCCTGGCAGTCCCGCCGGGTCCTGCCTACTCTCCTGGGGTTTCATATTTAACTGTTACTTACGTGCCCATGTTGGAAATTTTAATCTGCAGTTTTTATTCTGCCTGGAACAGCAGACTTAAATCTTCTTATGCAGTTCTTCTTTTGTCTAGAACAAATGCTTTGTATCCTTTTAAATAATAATGTAAACATGCAAATCTTAAAATATCATTTCTGATGCTATGTTCTGGGTGCTATGTTCTGATGTTATGTTCACTATTGGGGAAATAACATCATGGGAAAATGGTGTTAATGTGCAAAAATTACCCCCAGAATTGAGAGTTTTAATCTTTGAAAGATGTCTTAGTAGTGGGGACATTTTTAGCTGATAAAATACAGGCTCATAGCATTGGAGCACTATTAGTGTTCTCTCACGAGCAGACACTAGTCTCAGACATCTGGGGCAAAAACGTGACAAAATTGGTCTTTATTACACTGATAAAACCCACAAATGATTTTATCTTCTTCACTTTTTCATGAAGGTAAAATATTTGCATATTATTTCAATAACTTCCACAGCAGTTGTAATGAAACCTGATACATTGTAATGGTGCAGTTAAAAGATGTTTGCATTACATCCATATTTTGTTGCAGTTATCCAAGAGTTTTTTTAAAGGATTCTTAAACTTGCCTGTTTTGCAGTCTGACTCAGCATAGACCCCATGCATGCTGCAGGTTAGCTCTTTCAGGAGTCCGCGGCAGACATCTCCGGTCAGTCACAGCCTTCCTTCCCTGCGACAACCTCACATTCTCAGCACACTGACCTGGGTCACTGCTAACCGAGTGCAGAGAGGCATGTGATAAGAGCTATTTACCGTGTTCGTTCTGCACCTTAACCATTAGAATGAGCAGAGGACACTGAAAGTCTGCTGAAGTTTGGAGAGAGGGGGCAAACAAGGACAATAGAACGACAGTACCTAATTAACTCAGGTACCGTCAAGCTGATGTCCAGGCTTTGCCATTTGTTGGTGTATCCAGCATTGTAGCAGCTGCCTTTCCACAGAGAGGGAGAAAATAGCAGCAAAAGGGAGGCCACCTGTGACCGATTCTTAACTCCTATTGTTTCTATTCAGGTTCGTATCCATGGTTGTACGTGGTGGACCCTGGATGCCCTCTTCAAAAAGAACTTTTTCAGCGTTCCCGGTCTTAACTCCCATTGAGCACGTAGGTCATTCCTCTCTGTGTTCAGGTTAGTTGGACACATGTGCAGGTTGGTAATTTTCAGTACCAGTTTGGTCAGACCTTAGCCCTTCCTTGGTAGTGAAACCATTTTAGCGCACTGTGTAGGGCACTGTGGCTAGAATGTTCTCAAAGGTGGAAATGGAACGGACAAGAAGAGCAAGTAGAGCACATTATAAATAGTAAAGGTATTTTATGAAGTATTCACTTATATGCACGTATGCGTATATTGGGACAAAATGTAAAATGTATTTGTTATTGTGGATCAGATAAAAATGTTTGAGAAATAACTAGACTGCAAGATCCTTGTAGTAGTCCAATTAATCTTTGCATTCTTCAGTTGATTTCATATTATAAGTGGATGTTAGTGCTCACGGAATGATTACAATATTTGCCTCAGTTAGACACTGCGCATTGGAAGTGAAGGGCTTGTTTACCCAGTCAGTTTCTGATATGGCTTCTGTGGATGTAGAGTTTTTTTTTTAACCAGGGCTGCCTCTAGGTGTACCGCCCATTATCTAGTCTTCTTTGGTTGAGTGGGTTTGACATGGATACGCCCTGTCTTTCCCCTTCTCCCTTCACCTTTATGTTTCCCTGTGCCTTTGTGTTTCTCGTGGGACCCATCAAAGACCCTTTGCTGAGACATGATGAGTGGTTTGGTCACAACCTGGACTCGTTCCCCATCCGTCACCCCGTAGCGTGTGTTGAGTGCTTACAGTTTATTGGACACTTTTTGTGCATTTCTGTATTATTTACAAGTATTTTACGTGTATTCATTTACTCCTCACAATGGTCCCGTGGAAGGTGCTTTGTTATCCCCATTGCGCCGATGAGGGACTGAAACGCAGACGTACATTAAAACCACAGACTCGGTGAGTGTTCAGGATCCGGACCTAGGCGGTCTGTGGGCAGGAGCACAGCTCTACCGAGGTGCAGAGAGCCAGGCCAGAGGGCTCGTAGGCCCGGGGAGTTTTGCTCAGTCAGTGCTCTTTCTTGGGGCAAGGTAGCTAGAGAGAAGGCCTCATGTAGTCTTTTTTGTATGACTGGGCCCTGAAATTCAGTGAAGCTGGAAGACAGACTGAATTCTCGTTTTTATTTTTTTGTATTTTTAAAATTATTTTATTGTTGTTCAAGTACAGTTGTCTGCATTTACCCCTCCCCACTCCCCACCCCACCCCAGCCATTCCCACCTCCCTCCCCTGCTTCTGCCTCACTTTGGTTTTGTCCATGTGTCCTTTATCGTTGTTCCTAAAAACCTTCCCCTTCTTCCCTCCCATTATTCCCTCCCACCTCCTCTCTGGTTACTGTCAGTTTGTTCTTATTTCAATGTCTCTGGTTATATTTTGCTTATTTATTTGTTTCATTGATTAGGTTCCACTTAAAGGTGAGATCATATGGTATTTGTCCCTCACCACCTGGCTTATTTCTCTTATCATAATTCTCCTCAGTTTCATCCATGCTGTCACAAAGGGTATGAGCTCCTTCTTTCTTTCTGCTGTGTAGTATTCCATTGTATAAATGTATAAATATATAAACTGATAGGGTAAATGTACAATAGTTTTTTTGATCCATTAATTTACTGATGGGCATGTAGGTTGCTTCCAACACTGGCTATTGTAAATTGTGCTGCTATGAACATTGGGGTGCATAGGTTCTTTTGAATTGGTGTTTCAGGGTTCTTAGGATGTAAGCCCAGCAGTGGAATTCCTGGGTCAAAAGGCAGGTCCATTTTTAGTTTTCTGAGGAAATCCCATACTGTTTTCCACAGTGGCTGCACCTTTCTTCATTCCCACTAACAGTGCACTAGGGTTCCCTTTTCTCCACAACCTCTCCAACACTTGTTTGTTGATTTCTTTGTTTGATGGCCATTCTGACTGGTGTGAAGTGGTATCTCGTTGTGGTTTTAATTTGCATCTCTCTGCAGGCCAGTGAAGCTGAGTGTCTTTCATATGTCTCTGGGCCCTCTGTATGTCCTCCTTGGAAAAGTGTTTATTCAAGTCTTTTGCCCATTTTTTTTTATCGGGTTGTCGTCTTGGAGTGGAGTTGTGTGAGTTCTTTATATATTTTGGAGCTCAAACCCTTGTCCAAGGTATCCCTTGGCAAATATGTTTTCTCAAATAGTTGGCTCTCTTTTCATTTTAATGCTGTGCTCTTTGGTCATGGAGAAGCTTTTAAAATTTTATGAGGTCCCATTTGTTTACTCTTTCCTTTATGTCCCTTGCTCTAGGGGACATACTGGTGAAAATATTACTGCGTGGGGTATCTGGGATTTTCTGTCTGTGTTTTCCTCTAGGACTTTTATGGTGCCATGGCTTATATTTAAGACTTTTATTCACCTTGAATTTATTTTTGTGTATGGTGTAAGTTGGTGATCAAGTTTCATTTTTTTTCATGTAGCTGTCCAGATCTCCCAACACCATTTGTTGAAGAGGCTATTTTTACTCCATTTTATGCTTCTGCCCGGTTTGTCAAATATTAATTGACCGTAGAGACTTGGGTTTATTTCTGGGCTCTATATTTTGTTCCATCGGTCTATGTGTCTATTCTTATGCCAAGGTTGTCTGCTTTCACTACTCCTATTCAACATAGTATTGGAAGTTCTAGCCACAGCAATCAGACAGGAAAAATAAACAAAAGGCATCCAAGTTGGAAAGGAGGAAACAAAACTGTCATTGTTCGCAGATGGCATGATACTATACATAGAAAATACTATAGACTCCACCAAAAAACTACTCGACCTAATAAGTGAATTTGGTGAAACAGTGGGATGCAAAGTCAATATTCAGAAGTCAAAGTCATTTTTGTATACCAACAATGAAATATCAGAAATAGAAATCAGGAAAAAATCCCATTTGATATAGCAACAAGAAAAATACAGTACCTAGGAATAAACCATAGCTAAGGATGTAAAAGTCCTTTTAACATTGTCAAAATGTCCATACTACCCAAAGCAATTTATAGATTCAACACAATCCCTGTTAAAGTACCAATGGCATATTTCACAGATATAGAACAAACATTCCAAAAATTTATATGGAACCATAAATGACCCTGAATAGCTGCAGCTATTTTGAGAAAGAAGAACAAAGTAGGAGGGATCACAATGCCTGATATCAAACTGTATCACAAAGCCACTGTAATTCTTACTTTTCAATTAATTTTTTGATGCTGTGTGGACAAAGCTTGAGATAAGTGGCAAGCTGCCTTGCCTTTTAATAAAAATTTGTATTTAGTCTACCCCCACCAATTTATTTAAAGTTGTTTTGGCAAATTTTCAAGGTCAAAATAATTTTTAAAAATGTAGATATAATTTACATATAAAATTTACTGCTTTCAAGTGTGCTGCTCCATGGTTGTACAACTAGTTTTAACTTCTGATCTGAGAATATTTCTAATTAGAAGAAACCTTGTAACCATTAGCAGTCACTTTACATTCTTTCCCTCCCTGCCAGGCCCTAGCAAACACTAATGTACTTTCTGTATAGATTTGCCTACTTTGGACATTTCAATCAGTAGAAACCATGCAATATGTGGTTTTTGTATCTGGCTTCTTTTACATAGCATAATATTTTCAAGTTAATCCTTGGTGTGTGTGTACATGCCACATGTTGTTATCCATTCATCAGTTGATGGGCAGTTCAGTTGTTTTCAACTTTTTTGACTACTGTGAGTAATGTTGCTCTGTTTCTTAGTGTATAAGTTTTGTGTGAGTATATGTTTCAAATTCCCTTGTGTCTGTTCCTGGGAATTGCTGGGTCAGCGGGTTACTCTGTTTGACTTTCTGAGGAGCCATCAAATTGTTTGCTGTCACAGCCACACCATTTTCCATCCCAGTAGCATGACATGGAGACAACAGTTGCTCCACACCCTCTCCACCACTTGCTATTTTCTGTTTTTGTTTATTTGTTTGTTTTACTGTAACTATCCTGGTGAGCGTAGGGTGGTATCTCATTGTGGTTTGGTTTGCCTTACCATGATGATAAAAGAAATTAAACATCTACTCATATGCTTATTGGCATTTGTATGTCTTCTTTGGAGAGGTTTCTATGCAAAAATCACTTGCCCATTTTTTAAAAAATTGGGTTCTTTTTATTCTTGAATTGTAAGACTTCTTTATAAATTCTGCATACTAGATTCTCATTAGCTCTGTGATTTGAAAATGTTTTCCCAATTCTGTGGGTTATTTTTTCACTTTCTAAGCAATGCCCTTTGAAACACAGATATTTTTAATTTGATGAAGTCCATCTATCTATTTTTGCCTTTGGTTGCTTATGCTTAAGTGTCATCTCAATGAAGCTGTGCTTAATACATGATCAGAACAATGTATTACCCCTGTGCTTTATTCTAAGAGTTTTATAGTTTTAGCTCTTACATTTAGGTCTTTGATCTATTTTGAGTTAATTTTATATGTATTGTGAGGTAGGTGTCCATATTGGTTCTTTCATGTATGTATGTCTAGTTGTCTCAGCATCATTTATTGAAGAGACTGTTCTCTCCCCATTGCATTGTTTTGATAACCCTTGTCAGAAATCAATTGGCTGCGGGTATAAAGGTTTATTTTTGGAGTCTCAATTTTATTTCACTGAACTAAATGTTTATCCTAGGCCAGTACCACACTGTTTCGTTTACTATAGTTTTAAAGTAAGCTTTGAAATTTTGAAGTATGAGTCCTCCAACTTTGTTATTCTTTTCCCCAATGTTGTTTTGGCTATTCTGGTCTCTTGCACTTTCATATGAATTTTAGGATGGTCAATTTCTGTCCTCCCCTACCCTCCAAAAAGAAAACACAGTTGGAATTTTGATAGAGATGACATCAAATCAGTAGATCAGTTTGGGGAGTATTGCCATGTTACAATATTAGGTCTTCTAAAACATGAAGACATAGTGTCTTTCTGGTCACTTTATTTAACAGGGTTTTATAGTTTTTACTTATAAGTATTATACATATTTTGTCATTTGCTCTTGTTTTTTGATACTACTAGATTGAATTGTTTTCTTAATTTCATTTTC